CCCCAAAACCCCAAAACCCCAAAACCCCAAAACCCCAAACATAAAGCAATGTTTTGAAGATTTTAGTATTAATAAAAATGGGTCTTTGCTTTAAGTTTTTAGTATACGTCATTGGTATCTTTGTTCTTTAATGCTTTAGCTATCGTGATGTTCCTGTACTCTTTTGCATGGTTCGTCTTTGAGATCAACAAACTTGGTGGAACCTACACTGTTATCACTAACTTTGGAGGAGCTGCTGAAGTCTTCCTTGAAGATAATGGAGTTCCAAGAATTGTTGCCGATAATGAACTTGCTGGAGCCTATGCGAATGGCTACGTGCTTGCATCCAACAGACTCTGGCAGATGGAGTACCTCAGAAGACTCTCACAAGGAAGGATGAGCGAGATCTTTGGCAAAGCAACAGTGCCACTCGACGAAGGATTTAGGTAAGATATGAAGAGAGAGTTATAGAATTCTTGGATTCACAAATGTCTGTGAAAAAGAGCTCAAGTATTTTGGAGATACTGATAAAGAATATTTTGATGCATTCTTCCAAGGGATCAATGATTATGCTCATACACACACTAGACCCTTCCAGTTCTTTGCTTTTGGGATTTCTCATCAGAATTATACTGTTCTTGATACATGCACCTTGTATAAATTGATGGGATTCATGCTTTCAGGAGATTGGGGAAGCGAAATACTTAGAGATTATATGAGTGCAGTGACACAAGATGAAGAACTGATTCAAGCAATCTCTTCTTATTCCGATGAAAAATTTGATGAAATGACTCAAACTATCTTAAAGGAAGAGGAACTGATGGATATAGGATTGCATACTACAAAGAAACCTTCAAAGATAGAAAATCCTCTTAAAGGAAACATTTCTGAATATATTGAAGAAGTTGTTTCTGAGATGATAGAAGAAATAGACAGTGTGAAATTTGATGGGAGCAACGCCTGGGTTATCAGTGGAGAACATACCGAAACAGGAAAACCAATTATCTCCAATGACCCACATCTCGGGAATTCTTTGCCATCTATTTGGTATTACTCACATATTGAGTACAGTGATGGAAGATTTATTAGTGGTGTCACTCTTCCAGGAATACCATATTTCGCAATATTTGCGACTGAGAAAGTTGGTAAAATTATCTTGTTAATTATAGCTTTCACAATTACTGCAATCCCTGCTGACTCTAGTGACGTATACAAAGAAAAGATCGTAGGTGATAAATATGAATACGAAGGAAAGCTATACCCTCTCGAAGTGAGAGAAGAAATTATCAAAGTTAAGAAGAAAGATGACATTGTACTTAAAGTAAAAAGCACAAGACATGGCCCTCTTATTAATACCAAGAGGTAAATTTTCTCTTTTAACTCTTTTACTTTTTAGCATTGAATCGTTGAGTAATATTGCTCATGGAGGTCCAGTAATTATGCCAAATGGAACATACTCTTATAAATGGAGAGGAATAATTGCTCAGAAAAATAATGCTTTGCATATTCTCACCAAGGTCAATAGAGCTCAATCTGCTGCAGAACTGCTTGATTTAGGTATATTTTAACGATAAAGAACTATGGAAATATCGTCCAGCCTGGTTCATCGAATTTGATGAATATTGCCAAATCCTTCTTATTTTCTCTTCCAAGATTTATATTCTGATTTCTGGATTTGAGTTATTATTAAGATTGAGAAAATATTACCTCTATAGTTAAAACCTCCAATGGTGTAAATATAAACGTTGTAGTCTGTGATGTAAGCAATTTTTGACATTCTAGAACCTAGGAGAGCATGGCAACATAGGGTTTGCTCCTTATGGATCCTACCCTAAGAGAACCAAGGACGCAGGTAAGTCCTATTACTACTCTGATAGGCCACAGGATCTCAAGAGGCTGGATCAATGAGAACGAGTGGGATGGTGACATCAAAGGAGAAGATAAGCCATATTTGTGGAACCCAAAGAAAGGATACATTGTGATGGCTAATAATCCAATAAGTACTGCAAACACTAAAAGTCAGATTTCTACCTACAGTTTGGGTACTGCTAGAGCTCTCAGGATTACTCAATTGATAGAGGAGCTGATAAAGACCAAAAGTAAATTATGAATGATATTTTAGGCGGCAAAATTGGGTATGATGATATGATTGAGATTTTAAAAGACATTAAAGATCCATATGCTGAGCAGAAGAAGAAATATTTAGTCAAAATTGCTAGAGATTATATGAAAAGTAAGAATATTTGCCTATTTTAGATGAGGGAATCAAAAATGGAGCTGAAGAAGAAGTAATGGATAAGATTGAGAAATGGGACAGCATCTTTGATGAAAAACTTACAGAACCGGTCTATTTCACACTTTGGGAATTTGTAAATAAATTATTGATTATCTATAGTTCTTTAGGAGCAGCTTTATGTCAAAAAATTTCAAAGATAACAAACTAGTCCAGATGAAGATAATTTCTAATACTTATGGAGAGTCCAACTTTATTCATCTCTACAAGAACATTTCAGCTAATAACTCTCATTTTGGTATTTTATTATCTTACCTTTAGCTCAATATTGTCAGACTTATGCATCTCTTCCTTCCTCTTCTTGTGCTGAGAACATTTATCTAGCTTTGAATCAGACTCTACGCTATCTTATCCGCTTCCATTCTATGGATGCAACATGGGGAGAACTCCACACAATGCAGTATCCTAACATTCCGTTCACGAGGACATATTTGAAGCCTCTATACGATAGAGAAATCCCTGCTTCTGGTAATTCGAACACTATCAATGTGGCTGGTTTCAAGTTCAGCAAGTTTGAAGGAAAGAATAATGAAAACCCATATAGTTTGTTCTTTGATCCCAAGAGAGAGTTCCCAGCAACTCATTCTGCAAATCTTAAGTTAGTGGTGCCGATGGATGGTACTGTATTCTACTCTCTTGACACAGGAATCAGCGAGAGTTTAATGTCAGGCTGGTATTTCAATATGAATGGACCTCACAGAGAAAACAAGCTATTCAAAAGTAAGTAATACCTTTGAATCATTACATAGCTGATTTTACAAAGAAGTTAGAAGGTCAAGGAGATTTCAAGTTCATCTTTGGACAAGCTGAACAGGAGAAAGTTGATGATCTTTAAACTTTCAATACGCAAATTCAAACTGGGGTTTTGGGGTTTTGGGGTTTTGGGG